AAACACTCCACCCCTAAACAGAATGTAAACTCCTGGGGGACAGGAAATATTTTGAACCTGAGAGTATAGTCTACAAACAGTAGGTGATTAATACCTGTTTATTGAATTGAATTACAAGGCGTGCTTAGGGAAGGTCATTTTCATGAGCCTCCCACTGGTACAGAATGAGCAAATTTCCTAAGTCGGCTTGATTTTCTTCACGGCTACTGAGAAAACAGGTCTCTGCCCACTTTCTTTTTTGTGCCTTAAAGAGGCCTGCTAGCTCTTCAGTCCCTCTGGGCATTTCTAGAAAGGACCTTTCTAGGACTCGTAGCAAGAAACGAGTTTTCCCAGCACACTCTACAGCTGTTGCTGTAACAGCCTGGGGGCTTTTTCTCTGAGGTTACAATTTAACCACATCCTTTATTTTCGCCTTCTTGCCTGCTCCTCAGAATGCCCTTCCAAATCCTCCCCATATTCCCAGGCTCACTTTAAATGGTTCCTCCTTCTTAAAGCTGATTCCCTGAGCTGGAATTGATCTCAGTTACAGGGGAATTCCAAAATCCACTACCTGTACTTGTATCCAACTTTGGATTTACCTAGACTCACAACCTCAGTACTCTTTACTCATCCCCCTCACTCACTCCACATGGACAATAAATTGTCAAATCACGTCATTTCTACCTCCATAATGTCATCTTAGACGTTCCCTCTCCACTCACACAGCACCCACCTACTTCTTCAGGACCTCATCAGATTTCACCTGGACTAGGGCAATAGCTTTCTAATCAGGCTTCCGACCTCCAGTCTTCCCCTACTCAATCCACCTTGTTGTTGTAGTTGTTTGTCCTTCATTCTGGAAGAGGACCATACATTGGGGAGGTGCTGCCATGATGTTTAAAGGAATTGGATTTGAGTGAGGGAGGGCTGTGCAAAGTCAGAGCTGTGAAAGTGATCTCCCTAAACATAGGTCTGATATATCTGTAGGACCAAATATAAACTTTGGCAACATGGACTTCTGTCTTTCCGATCTTTCTACACATGACTCCCCTCACCTAGGGGAGCTAGGGGTCTGGGCCTGGAGTCAGGAAGACCTGAGTTTACTAACTGTATAACCTTGAGCAAACCACTTAACTTCTGTCTGCCTCAGTTTCCTTAACTGTAAAATGGGGATAAAAATAGCACCACCTCCCAGCGATGCTGTGAGGATCAAATGACAATATTCTTAAAGCACTTAGCACAATTCCTGGCACATAGTAGGTACCTAATAAATGCTTTTTCCTTCTTTCCTCCCTTCTTCCCTCCCTCCCTCCCTCCCTCCCTCTCTTCCTTTCTTCCTGCCTTCCTTCCTATTTTCCTTCCCTTCTTCCTTTCCGCTCTCTCTTCTTCCCTCCCTTCCTTCCCATCCAGGTAGTGTATAATCTATCTATATTGGCCTACTTTCTTTTCCTCTTACATTCCATCTCCGAATGTCCATGCATTTTCACCGGCGGTTACCTGTACTTGGAATGCTCTTCCTTTATACCTCCACCTCTTAGAATCTCTAGCTTCCTTCATGCCTCAGGTCAAATGCTGCTTTCAGCAGGAGGTATTTCCCAGTGCCCCACACTCATTTTCCTCCATATGTCTTCCCTTCTAAATGTTAACTTCCATCTACTCTCTCTGTATCTTGTATGTTTCAATTAAGAACTTATAGTCTCTTCTGGGAGAACATAAGATTCCTGAGATCATGGACTATTTCTGCTTTTTCTTTGTATCTTCATTGCCTGGGATACAAAGCCTTGCACAGAATAGACACTTAAATGCCTGCTAATTGATTCATGTAATTATCTTCCCTAAAAGAGAAGATACTTTCACCTACTTTCGCTGGGAACACTAGTACCTTGATAACTTCAGAGAGAGTGACAGGTTCTTTCTAACCAAGGTTTTATTTTATTTTATTTTTTTCATGCTAATGTGTATGCTCTTATCTAGGCACCCTTGAACTGTCGCTTACTTCACCCTTGGTTTCTTGTAGCCTTCTGTAGAAATAGGCCCTCCTTCCCTACATTCCCAGGAGTTGCCAGGCCTCAATTTTCTCTAATTAGGCCAGAGGGCAACTTATACAAATGATTTTTAAAGTCAACAACCATAAGTTAAATGCAGTGAGTGTGTATTACTAAGGTACCTTTTTTGCAGTGTATACATGTTTGCAGTGTATACATGTCTCGGTATGACCCATAACTGCAATGGAAAGAAATCCAGGCCCTTGTGGTCTTACCATGGTAAAATGGGATTTAAAAATGCTAAAAGCCACAAGGAATTTAGTTTGCAGATGTATAATAATGTAGAAGTTTATACTTTGGTCTTGGGGACTACATTAAGAAATAGAAAAGGCTAATATCTGAATGAGTTGGGGGAGGATAATTTAGGTAACACACAATTGTTTACTGCTTTGGGAAGGAAGAGTTTTAGACAACAGATTACTTGGTGGTTACGTAAAATCAGGTTAAGCTACAACAAAAAAGATTCTCAGTCAGCCTTGGGAAGGAGTGCTACAATATAGTTTTCATTTACCTGAAGTTTTTCCTATGTCTAGAAAACATCTTGGAGGATCTCTACATGGTCATCCACATATTCATATCTAGAATATAAGAAGCAAATTGTAATGATTTTCTGATGGTTTTCTAGTTAAAGTCATTCCAAATGAAAACTGTGGACTACCAATCATAGAATCTTAGAGGTAGCAGGGACCCTACTCTCTAAAAGCCTGATTCTTTACAGAATTCTAACCATTTAGTCAAAGTTCTTATATAGAACATGTTTAGCTCTATCACTGTAGGCTGAAGTTAATATAGTACAGCTGGTAACCAACATTTTACGTAGAAAAAAAATTAGCTTATGAAGATCAGAACCAGGGTATGCTAGTAAATGTTTAACAACCAGCTCTCAAAAAACTCAACATACTTTTAACTTTAATCTTCATTATTAAGATTTACTTAGTTACTTTCTTAAGTCTAAACAATCAACCAAACAACAAATCCTGCACTGATGTATAGAGTTTGTCGATTTCCGAGATGTAAATGCTCACATTGAAAATTTAACAGTTTCTCTCAAGCTATTACAAGCTGGCATACAACTGGCAGAACACATGTTATCATTTACTCATAACGGTTAGGGGGCATATTGTAAAGCAGAACCTGTTAAATGAGATAGATAACATGGACAAGTGGAAAGAGCACTGGCTTTGGAGTCAAAGGACCCAGGTTCCTCTAACACTTTCTATCTTAATCTTGGTCAAGTCCCTTAGCCTCCTTTGGCCTCAGTTTCCTTATCTATAAAATAAGAGTGTTGGATTAGATGTCTTCTGAGATCCCTTCCAGCTCTAGTTTTGTGAACAGCCAAAGGAGTTTGGTATAAGTACTCATTGAGAAAAAATTGGATGAAGACCTATTGTCGAGGCTATGGAATTTAGTTGCGTAGAGAGTGTTAGGGAAATTCCATCAAGCTACATGAAATAGAAGGCTGGCCAATTAATATGTACCTGGAAGTAGGCTCACTAAACACCCATGATGGTGAATGCATTAGGCATATTTTGCACATTCTCTTAGGGACTGTGCTTTCATTGGCCAGTTCTGCCTTATCTATATGTTATAGAGAACAAATTGAAACAGTAATTGAATGGCAAGAGGATATTGTGAGCTAGATTGTCTTTGGGAAATGATATACTATTTTTACTGACTCCAAGGTTCTTTCTGAAACGTCCTCCTTTTTAATACCAATATTTTTTTTCCCAGTGATGCTGTATGTTTATGGAGCATGGCAGGCCACCATCTCTGAAGAATCAAAACCACAGATCAAAGGACAAAGAGAAGTCAAATGGGCAAGAGTGAGCTGCAGCACATGGTCAACAAAGAATTGTGAGAAAAAGGTGGCATAAATGATATTGTTAAAGAAATACACAGTAAGACCTGAAAAGAAAATGAACCTGTCATACAGTAAGAACAAATGAAAAATGATGGACAGTACTTGTGCTTCATTTCTACCAACGCAACATAAAGGTATCTAGAGGAATGGTCCTTCCTGTGGAGGACTCATGGGAGGACACACAGAATGAGGCTTGATAGATTTCTCTTCTGGTGCAGGAAACACCTATATCAAAGATCTCATTGATTCATCCAAGTATGGAAATAATAATTAGCTATTGCCTGAAAGTCTTCCTCTAATGGCTGACCACGGTTTGGAAGTGACTCTGACTTCTCAAAGGCCAGGCACTAACTTGGGCATACCTAACCAAGCAGAGAAGGGTTAGCAATAGACTGTATCATGCCTGTCATCCACAGACTAAAATAGTTTTGTTAGAAGAGGTATCTCACCAGATGGTGGCCATCAAATGATGAAATGTAGATAATTAAGGCCATAGGAATTCATCAAATCAACTACTATAGAATACAGAGTTTGCATTTTATGAAGGGGAGGGAGTACTCACATCCTCAGAAATCATGGATTTTTGGAATATTGAAGTAGAGCAATTTGATTTTAAATTATGCAAATCAACAATATTTATCAACTGTTAATGATTAAATGGTACTTGAGTCCAACCATGACTGGCACCTGGAGATTCTGGAAGGGACTGGAATTGTGGAATAACAAAGTGGAAGCACTTTCGCAAGGAGCTATCCTTAGAGGAGTGTAATTTATGGCAAAAATCACACTATGTGGTCTCTCTCTCTTTTTTTGGCCCAGCATCCTTAGTGAGCTCAGGATTAAATGCATTGAAAAGAATAATGGATCTGAAATTAGAAAGACTTTTGAACCTGCCACATGCCGTGTGACTTTGGACAAGTCATTTCAACTCTCTAAGTGTGTTTCTTCATCTGTAAAGGGGAAATAATGATGTTTACATTACTTCCCCTTATCTTTTACCTATTTGCATACAAGAACCGGGGATCATTGATTCTTTTTTTCTTCTCCCCTTTCTCAGTTCTCCAACTATCCCCCATTACAGGCTTACCGGATTGGGCCCTCACAATGATATTTACCTCTGGGACTTTCTTTAAGGAAGTTTGGGGCTTCCTCTTTCCAGTTCCTCCCGACTGTTTCCTCATCTGCAAAATTAGAAGGTTGGAGCAGATGATGTCTGAGGTCGCTTCTAGCTTCTAGACTTAGGATTTGGTCTTTATAATGAATTGGTTGTTTCGAGGATCAAATAAACATCTATGTAAAGCACTTTGCAAACATTGAAATCTCTCTATAAATGTCTTACTATCTTTTCTTGCTTCTCGGCTATTTTGCTTCAACCCCAAATTATAAGGTTCATGAAGTCTCCTAGGTAAATTTTTGCTTTTGTTTACCCAGGAGCTTCTACAAGCCAGGTTTGAAGCCCTGGTTATCTTTCCTAGCAAGACTTGGACCACACCCTTCTTTTCCCCACCCGTTTTTTCCCTCAGGCCCCATTAATTGTCCTAATCACCAGCAAGCATCCTACTGTGAGGGGAAATCAACAACTGAAGTTCACTGCTTTTGATGTCAAAGCTTTTGAACTGAACATAATTTAATTTTTTTCCCTTGACTCAGATATTCAATTTGAGTAAGTATTATGTACCCTCTGAGGCTCCTGAGGCATGCAAGTAATTACCTTGATGCTAGATGGCTCCACTATGCTGAACTTTTCTTATTTTTCTTTAAATTTTCTTTTTTACATGCCTAGCTTTTAGGAGTCACTTGGTTCTTTAAAAATTGTTAATTTAATAACTATAAATACAAGTATCCAAAGAAAATAAAAAAAATCGCACCTAAAACATAAACTCTGAACTATCTGTAATTTGTTTTTTAGGGATTTTTTTGGCATTTTTTAAAAATTAATTTGAGTTATCAACAATCACTTCTGTAAGCTTTTGAGGTTTAAATTTTTCTTCCCCTCTCTCCTCACTTCCCTCCCCAATTCAGCACGCAATCTGATATAGGCTATACATATACATTCCTATTAAACATATTTTCACATTAGTCATATTGTAAGGAAGAATTAGAACCAATAAGAGGAACTACAAGAAAGAGAAAACAAAACAAAACAGAAGGAAAAAAAAGAGCAAATAGTATGCTTCGATCTGCATTCAAACTCCATAGTTCTTTCTCTGGATGTGGATAGCATTTTCTATCGTGAAACTTTTGGAGATGTCTTAGATCCTTGCATTGCTGAGAAGGGCTAAGTCTATCAAAGTTAGTCATCCCACAACGTGGCTGTTACTGTGTACAACGTTCTCCTGGTTCTGCTCACTTCACTCAGCATCACTTCACAAACCTTTCCAGGTTTTTCTGAAGTCTGATTGCTAATCATTTATGAAATCTGACTGCTCATCATAGCACAGTAGTATTCCGTGTAATTTGCTTTTAAAATGTTTATTAACTTTCTTAAATCAGAAAGCATTTCTCAAAAAAAATCATTTGTATACATTATCAGATTTTTCTGCTTTTTTACATAACTATAGTCATGCATATTACTGATCCTAGAAGTTTTCATCATGTCATTTCTTTTCATATTTCTTCATGTGCTTCATATTTGTCTTTTTATGGTACAATAATATTCCATTAAAGTTGGTATTTTATTATCTGTATGACTGAGTCAGTCTCTTTCCCCACGGTGGGTCTTTGTTTCCTCATCTAAATGGGGGAGTTGGATTACATCTCACAGAAGTTCCTTCCCACACAAACATCTTGTGACTCTATACATATGACACTTTGTTCAGTTATTCCCCCATTTTGGACACATGAGTTTCTTCCACTTTTTTTCTTTTTTATCCTTACAAATTAAGCTGCTATGACTTGTTAATATAAATGCAGATTGTACCAATTCACTGGGCTGCTAGCAGAGGAAGAGCATGCCTGTTTGCCCAGAACCTCACCAACATCGAATTTGATAATCTTAAACCATCATGTGACTAGCTAACCTGAGGAAGATCACCGACATACTGGCCTCAGGGTGGTGGATGCTCTACCTCCCAATTCAGAGAAAATGTAAACCTGTACCAGTGGAGGGAGTGCCCACTATGAAGAAACCTCGAAGTATCCAAGTACAGAACTACCTCTACTACTTTGAAAGAGTGTAAGGTGATGCCTCAGTTGTTCAACTTTGTGTTTCCATTATGTTTTTGAGGGGTAGGGGGGCCTGCACCTGTAATCATCCAAGGTGAAAATTTACCGTATGGAAACTGCCCCCATGAATGCAGAGTAACAATCTGTCGGTAATGTATAATTTTAGGAAAGTTGCCTGAGGCAGCAGGAACAGGTAATTTGCCCAGGGTCACAAAGCTAGCTGCACAACTGGATCTCATAGCTTCCTGACTATGCCTGATTTTCCTCTTATTATTAGAGAGCTTGCAGAGTTTCAAGTGCTCATTAATAAATCATGTTTCTTTGCAACAGATGTCACTTCTTGTTGTCATCGGTGTATCTGCTTTTAGAATTCTTTTCCCCTGGATCCTCTCCTACCCACCCCTCAATAATCTGCTGCATTTCCTCTACTATGGACTTGGAAAACAGAATACCCTGCTTGTGCTCCTTAGAATTGTCCATAAGTTAAGAGTCAGTAAATAGTGAAGGAGGGAATAAAGACTCCTGATGGAAATAAAGGCACATGGGTTTTATGACAGCAATTTTAGCTACTTTGAGGCTTTTTCTGCTTACTTTTGGATGCTCATACATAAATGGGCATCCTCTGTGTATGTGTGTGTATACATATATATACACACTTGGTCTCTCTAGATATACACATACATATATGCACACACACACATATGCTTTATTAATTTAACAAGAAAAATGAAAATCCAAGCATTGTGTTCTAAAAATTAAGAATCTCCATCCCATGATTAATGGGTGAGTTGGGGAATACACTAAAGGTATTTTTTTTAACCATACTTGTGATTTTATTGGTATAGGGAGCTCCAGGTGAAGAATTCCCTTTAGCAATGGAGAACAGCACTTGGTTCTTCAATTTAAGGGCTTAGAGAGTTGTGGCACTAGGAGGTTAAGTGACTTGCCAGGCAGGTTCCCAGAGTCAATGTTAGAGGAAGGACTTCAAACTATGACTTCCTTACTCCCAGACTATTGCTAACCACTACCCTAAAGTTGAGGCAGAAGAACTTCTCTTGTAGATAGACAGATAAAACAATTACTGAGAATTGACTGTGTGCCAGGCAGGAACTGTGCTATGTATTGGGGACACAAATACAAGTAAGACAGTCCGCCATGTCAGGGAGCTTCTATTATTAATGGAGGGAACACAACATATAAAGGCAGTTGGCAATTGGTTGGGGCTTACTCATAATGCAGCTCGGTTTAGAGCCTGGAGTTGAGAAGTGTGGTGGATACCTGGTTCCAGGTAAAAAACAGAAAAAACTCAACATGTAGTAAAAAGACAACTCAAATTTCTATCGTACTATATGGTTTACAAATAACTTTTCTACAAGAACCTTGAGAAGTAAGGAATGTTTGTATAGGTCCCTCCCCACCATTTTATAGATATGGAAGCTGAGACTGAGCTAGGGAGTGACTTTTTAAAGTTCCTTTGGGTTTTAAATTCATTTTTAACCTGGGGCCCATGAACTTGTTTTTTAAAATTAAAAAAAGTCTTTTTGCTAACTAATTACAATTCATTTGCTTTGTAATCCTATGTATTTTATTTTATGCATTTTTTATTTTATTTTATTTTATTTTATGCATTTAAAAACATTATTGTGAGAAAGTCCATAGGTTTTATCAGACTGACAAAAAGATTCACTACCAAAAAAAAACGTCTGGCCTTGATGATCTTTATGGACTTTTTCAGCTCTAAGTCCTATAAAAGAGGTAATGATGATATGGCATTCCTATTCTCTCCAGTAACCCCAAGCCCTTTTAAGTTTAGGAAACAGTTTCCTACCAAAAGTCAAGTGAGTAGTGCAAGAATGAAAAAAAGAGAAGATTTAGGGGGGCATAGGACAGCTGTATTCAAATATTGAAAGGCTGTCATGTGGAATCATATGGGATTAGATTCATCCAGCTTGGCCCCTGAGGGCAGAACTGGGAGCAGTTTTGTAAGGTGCCTGAGAAGCCAAAGGCAGTTTCATGTTGAGATAAAACTAGTATGATGCCTGGAACGTGGCAAGCACTTAATAGTTCTTTCTTTCTATCTCTATTGTCTATTTTTATCTGTGTCTCTACCTATGTACCTGTCTACCTACCTACCTGTCCATCTCTGTTTCTACCGATCTATATCTATGTCCACATCTACCTATTTCCATCTATGTACCTGCCTGTCCATCTCTCTCTCTCTCCCCACTTTCCTTGCACTGGCTTGTACATATCTTCTTTGTGCATAGTTGTTTGCGTGTTTTCTCCCCCATCAGATATTCAACTCTATATGCACTATGATAATACAGACATTTGTTTTGTGGATAACACCTTGAGTTCCCAGAGCGCAGGGACCCTCTTGCCCTTGGGCGATTAGCACAGCGCTGGGCACACAGTAGGCGCTTAATAAATGCTTCCTGCTTGATTGTGAACGGGCTTCTTCCGGAGGAGGAGGGAAGGAGTCTTCAGTAGACGGCTGCTTTAGTATTTTTTTTTGGAGGGGGGAGATAAAGCTGAAAGGATTCCTGTTGGATGAGGTCCGGTGATTCTATTATCATCCCTGTTTTACAGAAAAGGACACTGAGGCTCAGGAAGATGAATTACACAGGTAATTCGGGTAGCCAGCATGCAAAACCACATCCACTGTCTCTCTTCTCCCTTAATCCCTTCTCCCTCCCCATGGGTCAGCAAGCCATACCTGTCCCTCTGCCCCGGCACACGCTCCCCTAGCTTAGGTGAGCACGATCGATGCGCTCGGCTTCTCGACTCCCCTCGCCTGGGCTCGAGCTCCGCCTCGCACACCTTCTCCTCCTTCCCCCTCCCCCGCCTCGGGCGCTCAAGATGGCTGCCGGTGGAACAGTTCAGGTAAGCAAGGGGGCGGGGAACACGTCTTCGCCCGCCTCCTGCAGGCCCGGGCGGCGCAGGGGCTCAGGAAGGGGGGAGGGGCGGGCGAGCCGCGCCGCGGTCTTCCGCTCGGATCTTCGCGCTTCGCCGTTCCCAGAGGCGCAGTCGGCCTTCCGCGCCCCGCCGGCGCAGGATTGGCGGGGCGGGGCGAGGGAGGAGAGAGGGTGGGGAAAAAGGAGGGAGAGGAAAAGTAGCTGCTCGCGTAGTGCTGGGGCGGGGCCAGAGGCAGTCGCCGCCCCCAAGCCGGCTGGCCAGTGGGAAAGGTTTCCACCGAGCAGGGGCGGGGGAGAGGCGTTCGGGGAAGAGCCGCGGAGGGAGGAGCGCTCGGTTGAGGTAGCCGCTGCAGCTGCAGCCGCGGGGGGAGGCGGGAGCTGAGGGAGCTCGGGGTCGTTCCTGCAACCCCGCGGGCTGCCGGGCGGGCGCACCTGCCGCGCGCTTCCTTCTCCCGCCCCGGGGCAGCCCGGGGGGCCGCTGCTCCTGCTCCTCCCCCTCTTGCACCCCCTCACCCCCTTCTTCCACCTTCCCTCTCTCTCCCTCTCTCTTTTAAAATTCCCTAAGAAGTTGCTCGGGGCTCGCCCCCAGCCCCCGGAGGATGGCGGTTGAGCAGCCTCGGGGTCCAGCCGGAGGGTGAGGGGCGGGGAGGCCGGCCGGCCGCCCCGAGCGGGCCCGGAGGGGAGAAGAGAATGGACTCGCCCCCCGGCTGCTGCTGCCGCTGCTGCGGCCGCCTCCGCCACCTGCTGCCTTCGCCGCCGCCGCTTCCCGGCCCTGGTAGCCACAGCAACAGCCGCTAGACGAGGGAGCCTGGAGGGTTGATGGCCGAGCCGGAGGGCAGTGCGGGGCCCGGCTTCCCAGGTAAAGCCCCCGCGCCCGCCGGGGACGCCCCCCGGGGCTCTCCGTGGATTCACTGAGCGAAAAAGTTTGTGTCCCCCCAAATGGAGATGGGGAAGCGGGCTGCGGTGGCGGGCACTGGAGGTGAAGGCAGAGCAGCAGGACGGCATGGAAGGTGGCCTGTGGTGTAGACCAGGGTTCATAGATGCAACGCCAGGAGGAATCGCAGATGAGCAGGATAGCTTGGAAAGTGACATGTTAACAGACTTCCCCCCTTCATAGAGACAGAAGGAATCTCAGAGAAACAGGACAGTTTGGAAAGTAATATGTGGAGTAGAGCAGGGTTCGTAGATGGAATGCTGGAAGGAATCTCAGATAAGCGGGATAATTTGGAAAGTGACGTGGGTAACAGACTTCACCGCCCCCCCCCCCCCCCCCCCCCCCCCGAGCCAGAAGGCCAGAAGGAATCCCAGACGAGCAGATCAGCTTGTAAAGTGACACCTGGAGTTAGTAGCCCAAGGTTCATAGATGGAACACCAGGAAGAATCCCAGATGAGCAGAATAGCTTGGAAGTGACTTGGTGAACAGATCTTCCCCCCACCCCCCACCCCAGAGAAGGAATCTTAGATGAACAAGATAGCCTGGAAGGTGATGTGGTCAATAGATCCCTGGGGTTGACCAAGAAGGAAGGCCAGAGGGAATCCTGGATAAGCTGGATGGCTTGGAAACTGATATGCTAAAGAGATTACTGCCCTTCTTCCCCTTAGAGACAGAAAGCCCAAAGGAATCCTAGACAGGCAGGATAGCATGTGCCATGTTGAATAGACCAAGGTTCACAGAAAGAAAGCCAGAAGAAAACCTAGTCCTAGACAAATAGGATAGTTTGGAAAGTGATATGTTGAGTAGACAAGGTTCATAGGTAGAATGTCAGAAGGAATCTCACATGAGCTGGATAGCTCGGAAAATGACATGGTGAATAGACATCCCCACCCCCACCCCCACTTCTACCTCCCTAAACAGAGAAAGGCCAGAAGAAATCCCAGATAAGCAGGACAGCTTATGATACGTTAATTAGACCAGGGTTCATAGAACCTAGACAAAAAGGACAGCTTGAAAACTGACATGTTTAATACAGTTTATTCTTGACCTGACAGAAGAGGAGGGCCAGAAGGAAACTCAGACAAGGAGAACAGGGTAGAAATTGACATGATGAATTTATTATATTCTTAACAAGGGAAGCAAAAGCAAATCTAATAGAGATTCATGCTTTCTTGTACAGTCCTCTCCTGATCTATATTATATATGAAGGTGCTTATTTGTATCCAGTGTTTGTAAACCAGATAAAAATATTATTTATTTTCAAAGTAAAAAATACATAAAATTGGAAGAAAAAGACCTGGATTCACATTCTACCCACTTACAAGTTGAGTGACCCTGGGCAAGTGGCAACATCCGTAGGCCACAGTTTTCTGTCTGTAAAATGATGATATGGGACATAATGGTCTCTAAGGTCCCTTTCAAGTCTAAATCTCTGATACTATAAAATGGGCGGCTTGTTAGAGCCCCCTTTTCTCCCTGAAGCCAGCTCCAGTTCCTTGTGTTCCAGTTTCCCAAGTCTGTCCAAATGGAAAGGTTCATTAGCTGCAATAAAACCTCATTACTTTGGATTCTCCCCCCCTCTCCAATTTTAAGTCCATAAAAAAATTATGCCCTTCATTTGCATTACATTTTCATTATGCTAACAGGATTTGTTAAGCAAATGGTATAAATAGATTTGGGGAATATTTAGCCTTCTTTGGAAAACATTGCTAAAACTTTAGAAGCTATTTGAGTACTTCCTCATTAACACATAAGAACTCCAGGAGCAAAAATTCTTATGTCATTTACATCACAGAAGAGGTTCTTAACCTGTAGTCCATGAACTTAAAAAAAAAAGTTATTTTGACAACTGTATTTCAATATAATTAGTTTGTTTTGTAATCCTATGTGTTTTATACATGTAAAAATATAACTGTGAGAAGGGTCCAAATGTATCAGACTGCCAAAGGGGCCCAGGACACATAAAAGATTAAGAACTCTTCTATAGAACTTTAGCTTGGTAAATTAGCAGATTACTTATCTAATAGAAAATAAGCAATCTACAACTTCCATTTTAGAATAGAAATCCAGAGATAACAGAACTGAAACAAATCTTTGTAGGAATGTACATCTTAAATCTAGAAACTGCATATGTGGATTAGAAAGCAGGTTTGGGGTAGGTGGTGGTGGGCATTTCCATATCTGGACTGGGTAAAGGGAAGTTTTATGTGTTGAGTTTTTCTGTAATCAGAATTATCTGGATAATTATCTCAGTACTTAGTATAATTGATTTACACTTTGGTGGTAGGACTTGATGAATTTTCTTTATGTTTTGTTTAAAGAAAAGATTGTAAACCAAGTTTCCAGGGTTTTTAAGGCTTACAAGAATGTATGTGTGTTTTCAAAATAGTGTTAAAATCACAGATTTGACAGTTGGGAAGGAACTCAGTGGTCATTTTGTTCAATCTGTACCCAAAAGGAATCCCCACTACAAAAATCAGTTGAAATCTTCCAGCCTCTATTTAAAGACCTTCCAGGGAGGAGAACCTCCTTTTTGAACCTTTGGCCCTTGAAACCCTGTTGAGTGATTTTTCCTTCCCCTCCCCCACCAAGTGATAGGGTAGCTTGGCTTTGGTTTCACGGCTTTCATTTTGCATATTTACCAAAATCTGGTCCATGGCATTTAATAGAGCTGGAAACTGAGGTGTTAACTTTTAGTTTTAATGATTTGTTTGCCACAGGGAACATAAAGGGCCAGGGTAGACCTGGTAGACTTTAGAATCAAAATCACAGTCTTAGAATTGGCAGGGATCTCATAATCTATTTAATCCACTTCCTGCTTGAACAAGAATTCCCTCTATAATATACTTGACAAGTATCCAGCCTTTATTTGAAGCTCTTCAGTGAAAGGAAAACCACTCTTCTGAGGCAACCTGTTCCACTTTGATGTAGCTCTACTTGTTAGAAGGTTTGCTGTCTTATATAAAACCTAAATTTGCTTCTCTGTAACTTAAACCTAGTGCTCCTGATTTATCTAGGGCAAAAATTCTTAACCTTGTTTGTGTCATGGTCCACTTTGACATTCTGGTGAATTCTGTGATTTCCTTTTTAGAATAATCAAAAAAAATCATAATTGAAGAAATGCTAAATTAGAGAAGTTAGTGAAAATAAAGCTGTAATTTTTCCCATCCAAGATCACTGACCCCCTGAAATATGCATTAGAGCTAAGCAGAAGAAATTCCTTCTCCGTGTAAAAGCCCTTCAGATACTTAAAGACAGCTATCAGTAATCATGTATTATGTGCCTCCTCTATATTAAGCCCTGTGGTAGGTGCTTGAGATTCAAATATAGGCTGTACCTGCCCTCTAGGTGCTCTTAGGGGGAGAAAACATGCTAACCACTATGTACAAACAGGCCACAGACCGGATAGTTTGGAAATAATCAATGAAGGGAAGGCACTAGAATTAGAGACTTGAAAGAAGTCCAGAAATCAGGGTGCAAAGATGAGAGAGAACATTACAGTCATAGTAGACAGCCAGGGAGAATGCCTTGAGTATTTGAGGAGCACAAGGAGTCTACTGTGACTGGGTGGCAGAGTTCATGGGGGCAGGGGGATTTATGCAGATATGTGTATGAAAGTATAGAAAGGTGGGGGAAGGAAGGTGATGAGGGGCTCTGGGCCTCAAACAGAGGATTTTATATTTGATCTTGAAGATCCTAGGGAGCTGCTGGAGTTTATTGAGTAGGGGGTATGTCTTGGTCAGACATGCACTTTAGAAAGATCCTTTTGACAGCTCAGTACAGGTTGGACTGAAGTGGGAAGAGACTTATGGCCAGGAAACCAACCAGAAGGCTGTTTCAACAGTCCAGTTGTGAGGGGATTGAGGGCCTGGACTAGGATGGTGGCACTGCCAGAGGAGAGAAGGGGGCATATGTGAGAGACAAAATTGACAGGTACAATTGACTGAGGAAAGGCACTAGAATAAAGAGGCATCAGAAACACATGTAGTAAGTGAAAGGTAGGTTTTGAACTCAGGTCCTTTGACTCCCGATCCACTGTGCCACTTACCTGCCCCTGTAGATGACCTTTTCAAGGAGTTTTGTCAGAAAAGGAAGAAGAGATATGGACAATAACTAGCTCAAATGGATGAGGGTTCTCTCAAGTCTTCTTGTCTCCAGGCTAAGCATTTCCAATATCTTCAGCTCATTTACTTATGACATAGATCATGTATTAGGCCTGGGAAGGCTAAGAGGCTGTATAATAAATTCTCTTCAAGCAACAAATATTTATTAAGCCACTATGTGCCAAGCACTATAGTAGGAGATGGTGATATAATAACAGAAAAGGGACAGTTCCTACTCTCAAGGAGCTTATATTCTACCATTAAGATACATTTTCAGTGAAAAGTAAATGCAGTATATATCCAAAATAAATTTACAGTGATTTTGGGGTGGTGCTAAGGACTGGGGGAATTTAAGAAAAGCCTCTTGAAGGAGGTGGTTCTGCAGCTGAACCTTGCAGGGGTTTGGGAGCTCCAAAAGGGAGAGATGAGGGAGAAAATTCTAGGAATGGAGGACAGCTATGAGGGCAGCTAGGTGGTGCAGTGGATAGAGCAACTGGTCTTGGAGTCAGGAGGATCTGAGTTCAAATACAGCCTCGAACACTTACTAGCTGTGTGACTCTGGGCAAGTCACTTAACCCCAATTGCCTCTTAAAAAAAGAAAGAAAAAAAAGCAGTAATAAGAGGGAATGTTGTATATCAGCAACACCAAGAAATTAAATTTGGCTAGAGTGTAGAATGAGGGGGAATAATATGCTGGAGTCAGATTATGAAGAGCTCTAAATGCCAACTGAGGAGTTTGTGTTTTATCCTGGAGGAAATGGGAAGCCACTTAAGATTTTTTTTAAAGCAAAGTTATGACATTGTCAGAGATACGAGGAAAAT